TCTGAAATAATTGTAATGACTTAGTTAATTATTTTAACTGAAAAGAATTTTTTGTTTATAAATTCTTCGTTTCAATTGAACATATTATCCGAGATAAACAAATACATCGAAATAGACCAGCCTTTATAATTTATTACTATTGACATTTAAAGAATGTCTTGTGGAATTTATCATTATTATTGTAAACACGTTCATTATAAATGTAAAACGTGAAATATGGTGAACATTAACATCTTATACAAGTAGAATCCCTAAACTCTTATTTTGTATACTTTTATACCTCCAGAAGTATACAAATCACCGAGGAAATATTTTTCATAACAAATTATTAAAATAGAATTGTCGTCTTGGTTGATATTCACTTTATGAAACTATTACTTGGTTCCAAAGATACTTCTATGTCGTTAAACAAACACTTCATGTTATAAGTAGAAGCGTTTTGAAACGACATTTCGATGGGACATTATTATAATTTGTCGACCTAACTTGAACATTGATAGTATTACCTAATTTCAACCGCACATCATCTAAGCACAAAGAAATATATCAAAGCAATGAACGCCGATATATTTGTAAATGTACCTGCAGACGCACAATATAGGTTATCTCTATGATAATAGGTTGGAGGTGGATGTTCATCTCCTGGCTTACAATGTTCACGTTTTTCTTTTAACTCCGCCTGTAAAGAAAGGAATAAACAACAGTTGCTTATTTTTATTTCACGTTGTAGTTTTTATTAATAAAATCTATGGTAGAAAAGTTCGAGTAATCTGAGTTATTCTTTGATTGTTCAAAAGTAGAAGTTTTACAATATTATGAAAATATAAAAATATTAGTTTTTCTATGCTTTACCAAGAAAGTTTGAGCACATAAATAATTGACTACAAATAATTGTATAAAGTATTTGTTTTGTTGCAATTACATTAAATTATGCAATTACGTTACAAATATTTACTGTCTTTTACGACAAACATATATACGAGAGAAAGGATTAGGTGATTTAAAGAAATAAACACGTTATAGAATACAATTAATAACATGTGGGGCAAGTGGAAAAATCAGCTTGTAACGAAATTAATTAAATCCAAGCCATTTCCACGATCCTACAAAATCAGGACAAAATTGTTCAACTTATTTCATAGAGCACAAGAAATGAACAAAATAATCATAGGTCGTAAGTACGCAGAAGGCGATATAAACTTTTATATCCGGATAAAACTTTATTTAACGCATTAAACTTGTTTATTACAATAACACACTGTTAAGTATAACATCTCTATTTATTTAGTGGTTCGTGTGTATCAAATTTCAGTGTAGTCGTAATTTGTCCAGTCGCTAGATGGCAGTTCTATTGACATTAGCTGAGATTCGTCAAGCTGTCAGTTGACACAGTAATGTTTTCCACACTTTCTCTTGAGTAATTTTCACATCGATTTACGAGATGAACAAATTATTGCCTCAGTCCTGGCATGCAATTCTGTTGTGACTTTCACTGGCGGGCACTTAACTTCTATTCCACTACACGCAGTCCGAATGTTATAACGTTTGGAGGTTATTATCAATGTTGCTTTTGTTTTGTCTGCTTCCGCAATTCGAGATTTAGTGATACTCTCTCGTCAAATTGAACACACTGAAGACTGTGCAACTATATGATTTTCACATAAAACCTTGCACGTGGAAGTACTGAGTACATACAAGGTGTGGTGTAATTGCGTTGCGTGTCACGATTCGAAAATGAACTGTCGTTTGCGACTGCTGTAGTCCAAGCCTCGATATAGCGTGGTCGTAAACTAAACTCTCGAAATGCGGCATCGATTCATGTCGCAGTATTTCATTTTAAAATTGCGCACAATAAAAAAAAATGACGATTTATGATCAAGGATATTTCATTTACTATTTGGAATATTAGGACTTTCTTCGGTTTCTTGCTATAACCAATGTATTGTATAACTGCACCGATACTGGATTGAAAATTTATTCTTACTCTCCTGTTTTGATGTTTGTCCTCTGATGTCTTACGACCACGCTATATCGTGACACGGACTTTTCCCGCCAAAGTGATATTGGGTAACCGTTTCAAAATGGCAAAGCAAAGTGTTTGACCGATGATTACTACTGGAGAATATGCGTTGTCTCGACTAGTTGACGAACGTACTGAACGATTAACTGTTTTGTTGCTTCGAATGGAATACACGTGAATATATAGTTTTTTTTTAATTCTGGTTACGTAACCTATAAATGAAAGTATATATTCCATCTGGAACATTTGTTCAACAAGGGGCAATTGTAAAATGGGTCTAAAGAAGTCATGATTTTATCATCCATTGTACCGAATCTTTTAATTGCTAAACCAGCCTTTTCATTGATTCATATCTGTTTTCTTTTTTATCGGGATTTCTCAAAAATCCGACACCTCATTTTTCCACCACTGCTTTTACTCTTTCTCCATCTTTTTAAGAAACACCTTACGATCAATTATCGATTTCTATATTTTACCAATTGCCTACTTTCAAAATTAACTTGGTGTATAACGATCTCACCTCTTCAAAAATTTCATTCAGTATTATTTCGAACACCAACCAATCAACAGCCTAACCTATAATTAGTCGAAGAATTGAATCCAGTGATAAGCGGAGTTGTGTCCACTAACTTTCGGAAATTAGTAGTCTGGAATTCTCTTTACGCTTCATTAATAAAAACTGAATTTTCTCGACGCGATTTAAGTTTGCAATAAAATGCAAACCGACGCGACATACACGATAGTATAAAATGTTTTATTAAATAAGAGAAGTTGTTAACGTAAAATGAATTCTTACCTGACAAATGTCTCGGCATGAAGGGCAAATTAAAGCACCTTTGTGAAGCCAAGTACCCTGCAATATTCTAATAGCAATTTCTTGACCAGCGTGGTAGCATGTATATGTGTAGTTTGCAACCTATAATAAAGAAAGATATATTTAATTCCATACCATCTTGAAAGACTAAATACATGTCATTTATAATATGCTTATAATTATATAATTTAATATATAAATGATACTGACCACAATGTGCAATCTGCCAGCTTCACATTTGTACTGGTAACATCCAGAACCCCAGTGCTGCCATTGTCGAGCTTGTTTACATGTTCTTTCTTCCCACATTTGATTTGTATGATCAAAACACCTTGAATGTGGACCATACCTTTCTAAAGCGAAATTTTTATCTGGGTCTGCACACAAAAATTAAAGCAATTCATTCAATTAGTAAAGTTATATGTTTTACTTCTTACTTGTATAAAATAGTAGTCATCAAACTACTTACTATTAAAGTAGAACATATGTAATTATTTTATGAAATTTTTGCAATTTTCTGTTCGTTATAATTAATTTGCAAAATCAAAGCTATTTAGTAAGTAATATAGAAACTGACAAAATTCTTAATTATTCTATCTTATATACTATAAGAACCAAGGATAAAACTTACGGGGATTATTTTCCTCGTACAAACAATGGGAGCCTCTAACAACTATATTTCGAGCTCTCCATGTAAATTCTTGTATGTATGGACAATAATCTGCCAGAGATACTGAGCCACCATAATACCGTTCCTGTCCAATTGGCACATCAGGAATCGAGTCGAAATTCTACAGAACAGAAAATTGATACAAAGATATTTTTTATATATATAAAAGTTTCTAGAAACAATAATTGAACGACTTACAAAGACGTGAATTAATTAAACAAATGAAGAAAAGGGTGTAAGATGGTTTTCTATCTCATTATAGCTTAATTTTTTTCAAGATAGACTATAGAAAAAATTCTTGAATAAAAATTACATTGTATAGAATGTACAATATTTGTTTCAAAAGATGTTTCTAAGACAGTTTTTTTTTTTTTTTTTGTTAAATGTAAATATGAAATATCAAGATTTTGATTGATAAGTAATTTAATACCTGATATTTTGTGGGTAATGTTTGTGAATATTTAATTAGGTTGCACAGTGCCACTGAACTTCGGTCATCGGTACACTCAGTTTGTAACGGATCTTGTTTCACTTTGTTGCAGAATGGATGAATAGACTTTCCTCTGTAAAACAGCAATTGAAAAATCGAATATTTATTGCTTGACAAAATTAAACACACATTAGGTGTACTTACTCCTGTATTCTGTCCGATAATGAAGCAGTATAACAGAATAATTGAGGTTTAAGTATGTTATAAAGTAATTATTTAAGCAAATAATTATAGAAGTCATTTTTTACAAAGTAAGCAATTTTTTATAAGATTTACAGATTTATATTTGTTTTATTTGTCATTCTACTCAGCAGTGTATTTTACTTGTATGTATTTCGCTTAATGTTAATTAAAAGAACTATTTCATAAAATATGCGTATATTTTCGATAAACCTAATTTCCGATTATTACGATTAATTTCTAAAAAGATATTTTAAAGGTGCTGCAATAGGTACATACGAGAGTCGTGACGATTTCGTAGATATCCATTCTTTGCAAGACTTCATCGCAAAGTCGCAACCGAGATTTCTACCCCATCTTAGTTCTTGAGCCATTGAATAATTTGCACTGTACCATCCAGTGTCTTCCATAAGGGCGAGGGTTATTCTCGAATAAACCGGGTTTTGAGTATGCGTTCCTGTCATCGCTTCATTCTAAATAAACAAACATTGTAAACTATACGTTATTACATTTTTTAAAAGTTGACCTACTAAATTCTTCATTTTAAAATAAGATACACGGAACGGTAATACATAAAATAAAACATATGTAGTAAATGCAAAAACACTTCTGACAATTTTTCGAAAGTATGTGAAATTAACGCAGAACTTTAAAATAATTAAATTGTTCATTTTCTCTGTTGAAAGTGCAATAAGTTATATTTTTCAACGAAATAAAATTATCTAACATGTCTCAGATAAGACTTACTTATTTTATCGTAGTTCATTTACTGGAATACTTACAAAATTTCAGTTATTCGTAAATTCACTTTTACATTTTTTTAGTAGCATATAAAGATGTTAAGATGTATATTTTAATTTCTTTCTATTTAATAACTATAGACTTTCCGCCAGTGTAACTTTTCAATTTTGATATATCTGTGTTTTCGATTTTATTGTCGTAATCTGTATTTAAAATAACGTACCTCAAAAACTCGTTTCTCCCAATGTGTTAGAGCCGTGCCATCCTCCCCTTGGTCCTCTAATTCCGCGCCTTCGAGTTCTGGACAATTGAAGTGAGCTTGGACTTCTGCACGAACTTTGGGTGTGACTATCATTTGCATTGACCTTCGCACATAACCATTGTACACTTGCCAGTATGGCCGGACTATAGTCTTGATCGTGTTTTCGCTCCATTGATGCGTTTGTAATCTATACATAATGAACATCAAGTGTTATCAGTGTTTCCTCATTTACCAAAGTATTGTTGTTACTTCGTTCAACGAAAACGAATACTATCGCGATGGTTCATGAAATTACCTAACGTTGCATATTTAACAGGTAACACAATGACATTTTCCAATTGAAATCGATGTACTTTGAAATTAATTTAAATTTTCAATTAATCAATCTTTCACCAATGTCCAATTTTTTACAATCAAATTCGATAGAACAGCAAATTCTGAGTGTAAAGATACCAAGGTACATTTATTCTAAAACTCACCGTTCTTGAGATATTTTAATATGAACATTCAGGCTAAATGGCTAATCGCGGTTTGATACTGTTTGGATCCTCTGTATGATTCGAACATATAATATAGCGTGATACAGCTCTAAACAAAAATTTCAAATATCGAAACATAACAATATTTTTTCCTTTTTTAAAATTTTATTTTATTAACAATCAGAATACATTTCTATCAGCTAATTTGTCCCAGGAGTCCTCCTTAACCATCAGTTAGGTCTGCTCGCATAACAATATTAAGCGGAAACGATAAAAGTGAAAGATATCTTGCATAAAATAATAACCAACAGTAATAAAAAAATAAATAACAAAATATACACTTACTTTTCGTTTAACAGCGGTTTCCCTGTATCGCTTCTTCTTGGTGTTCTTGGCTTGCCATTTTCATCTCGATAGAAGGCGTACAAACTTACAGAAAATCCTAAGGCGTGCAATATCTCGTGCTTTACGGTGCTCAACAACGTTTCTAGCTCTTGCGGTTTTGTGCTCATACTTTTCGGACACAGGTTAGCGTGACCAGCTATAGGTCTGGAAAAAATCAAGCCATGTGTCTTAATAGCGTTCAAATTTCAACAGAGAAAAAAGAAACTGGAAGGGAGAAATTAAAAATGAGATTGTGTTAACACAATCATTTTAGTAGTCTAGGTGGAATTAAAATTTTCTTTTCATTCTGTAACTTTCATATTTACCAAAGTATATTAAACTGTGTACTACACACTTCACTATACTTATTGTACTATAGTTAGTCACTAACGAAGAGTAAATAATTAAACAAATTACCGGTCTAATGCTGCTTCTTGCTGACAGTGTGCAGCATAAGCCACAGTTAATCCCTTATGACACCTTGCAGTTTGCATTGCGGATACGTAAAAGACAAAATCAGCACCGTCTATTCCCGGGCCTGCTTTGCTTCCTTCAGCTATACCGCAATTATGTCCCGTTGCATTGCACGTCCTGCAAACCTAAATATTAAATAAACGTATTACAATTTTTTTACGGTTTAGATATATATGTAGTATGTAATGAAATTTGCGAAACGGCGAAACAATTTTTCATGTTAATTAACGTTCTCCATTGTTAATTAATTCACACCGTGTATATTTCTTCTTTATTGTAGATTATAAGCGTATAATAAAAGAGGATCATTATTATAAACGAAATCTATTCATTTTAATGTGGTTATGTTAGCAAGAACAGTGCTCGTGAAAAATATCTGTGTACATACTCGCATACAGGGTGGGCCGCGTAAAACAAGCCACCTAAATTATCTTCTCCAGCTATGGTGGTACGAGAAAATTTTTATACATTATTTAAATGGTTTCAAAGGGTGAATAGGTGGCCGACAAATTTTTTTTTTAATGCACATTAATTTCTGCTAGAATATACAGTAGAAAAAGTATGTACATTCACGTAGAAAAAACATAGGTAACCTTGAAAACAAAAAAGAAAAAAAATTCTCTTCCATCTTATTCACCCTTTGAAACCAGTTAAATTACATATTAAAATTTTCTCGTACCTCCATAGCTAGGGAAGATAATTAGGTGGCCTGTTTTACATGGCCCACCCTGTAGTGTGCTAGTATTTATGTTGCTAAAATATAACAGCATAATTTTCTGTAATAATATCTGCCTGCAAATGATAGCAAAATTTCTGTTTTATTGCTATTAATCCTTTCAATACTTAATCTTATCCTTACGCACTTCCATCTTAATTTAATAAACCGACTTTTACAACGACACGGCCAAAATAACAAATTTTGCCGCCGTGGTTAAAAATTTACCGTCAGTCACCCGCGTTACATATTAAAATCTGCCGTGGCGAAAGGGTTAAGAGTATTCGTTAATTTCTTACGTCGAGATGATCTTCAGGGACGACCACTTCACCGCACATTGTAGTGGGACGGCAAGTATCTATGCAGTGTGTGTGATGATCTTTGACGAAGACTTGACTACTTTCGCATTTTCTAAAAACATACGTGAAATTGCTAAACAATAAGACAGTTTGAAGATGCATAAAGAACCATTCGTATAAATATTTTCATTTTTTTCTTCCAAGTAAATTAACATAAATGTTAGAAAACTGGATGATTTACTTAACAAAGTTATGAAAATTTCTCTGTACATGTATTATTCTAAAATAGAATTTTGCTGGGAAATCTCTTTATTCCCCGAGAGAAAGAAAAACGCACGTAATTTCCTCAGATAACATGTACCGATATCAGCAGCTTCTCGAAGGCCCTGAAATTGCTAGATTTTATCCGAGCATGAATGTGCCTGATGTCGGCAATAGAAGGACGGTCGAGATGTTTTGCTCCTCCCATCGTTTTCACGATAACTGGTGTAAGGAGAGGAAAATGGGAAATAGTGGATCTCGTAATGGGATGGTAAATTGTGTAGAAACTGATTAAATATTTAGAGGTAACATTCTCCTCCTTACGAAACTAACGGTCGTACTCGACTTCGAGATCCATCGTTAGGAAACGATATCGAAGTCGTACATCCCGAGGAAATTCGAAAAGTATATCGAGCTTGATAGGACTTATGACGTTGGCAGATTTTCAGAAACGAGGAAAAAGGAAAGAGAAGGAAGATGAAACCAATATTGCAGAGAGTGCACATGACGGGAAGTCGTATAAAAGTGGAAGTTATGGAGAAGCAGTTGTGAGATTTCACTGATTTACTGCCACAGATTTTCGAGTAAGAGAATCCTCCGATTGATCGTATATTTTCAGAAATTCATTTGGACAACCGCGAGAACCGAGAGACTGTTTGATGTTAATTTTTCATAGAACACCGATGCAATATACATATGGATGGAATTTACAAAGAAACCAGGAAAATTTTTAGTTATACTTGTCGTTCAGAGAATAGTATGTATAATGTTTTGGGAACACTGGTTATGCGTGTAGGTATCATTGCTATAATATAGAATTACACTTTTTATAAAAGTATCTTACGGAGTAAGCTTTCCTCAATTTATTTTCACAACTTGCAACAATTAGTACTTGTTTCAGTAAATTCAATTTAGACGTATAACAAGGCATTTCATTATTCCTGGTAACGTTGCTTGGTAAACTAGTAAAAATAGTAAAAATCTAGAAATAATTTAGGAAGATCGATTAATTATAAAAATGTATTATTTCTGTTGGAACTTAATGACTATTAGACATATAAACTGTTCATTTTGTAAGATTATTTCATTAAAAAGATCGTTAATTAATAAATAGCCCGATTGGATATGCATTTCAGCTGAATTAATTTGATCTGCGTTTATCAAAAAACGATACATTCAATTCAACTACAGTTTCATATTATGTTCTACTCGATAATGAAACTTTGTCTCAGAGAAATGTATGGCATGTTGGATAATTAAACTTAATCTAATGAAGCGTTTGCGAATTTTATCCGTTAACAATTTGGAAACGTATTTCATTTTTCATTAGTGAAAGAAAAAATATTCCTATTGGATGATCTAAATATGTGACAAAATGAATTCTAAACGCAAGCGGAAAACATAACATTGCCTGATAAAATAAACATAAATGAAACAGTAAAAAGTAGATATTGTTAATGATCTTTCTTACTCGAAAGCTCGATAAATCGAAACTTCTATAAATCGGAAGATTTTTTCTCTTCCCTTGAGGTCCTCGAGTTATCGAGGTTCCACTGTATTATATTTATATGGGACTCAACCTCTTCAGGGACACCGACACATATGTGCACCTTTAAATTTTCTGAAAATTCCAATATTTGCCACGGAGAAAATATGAAAAACACAATCTCCCAAGGAAAGTAGTTTAATTGCTATCGATTTAACACGAATATAAACGTAACTACATAAAAAATTAGATCAAGTTTTGCTAACTTTAAAAAGAATCATCCCTGAAGAGGTTAATACATAAATATTTCTTAGTATCAAACTTTCTAGCACCATCAATTAAAGTTCACCAGAATGTTTCCCTCCAACGAACATAAAGCAAATTTATCAGAGGAAAAAGCTTGCTCCATTATTTTCACCTCATTTTTGCTAACTGTATAAGTATAATACCAAATGCAATAAAGTGCATTTCTCGCACGTTCGAAGAACGTGCAATCAATAACGTATTTATCAATAGGAAGGGGTAAACATGTTGAAGAAAGAAGTTGTTTCGATAGTCAGCATCGTATAGATACTCATGGGAGCCTTTTCAGCGAGGTATTATAGCCCGAAGGATATTTATGAATCGAAGGAAGAGGATCTGAGAAAATCCTACGAGAGACGCTATCCTATACCCATTCTGCTATTTCATCTGGTCTTCGTAATCCCTATTGGATCTGCCCAACTCAATAAAAGAAAATCGTATGGCAGAAACGAAACCACGCCACAGAGCGATAACTTCTTTTCGTTTCTTTCTCAAATCCTTTTACTGATTTCAACAATCCTGACTACTTTCATTTTTTGTTTTTTGTTATACGTTCCGTTCAATACCGTGTTCTCTATCGATTCTAATCATTACACGATCTACCGTCTATCAACAATACTAATTACCGCACGATCTATAATAATATTTTCATAGGTTCTTCCTCTTTCTTGGCTCTCCGGTGAAGGAGATCTGTACTCTATACTGTTGCTAGTCTGCTAAGAACCATTGGACAGAGCGATAAATTTGGACACAAACATCGTACAAATACTAAATATTCAATTCTGGTGCACAAACGTTACAAATGAAGGATTTATACTGTCCGAAGAATACTCACAACGAAAAAGAACAGCCTTAATTATTCTAGCGCTCTATCATTGCTGGATTAAATCTCCATATTGATCCTAGTGGTCTTGTCGATATTAAGTTACGATAAAAACGTCACTTTGCATCGAATCATCTTCGTTATGTGACGTTATTAATCTCACGTCAAATGCACGAAGGATATATTTTATTTCAAATAATTTGTATCACAAACAATTGGAATAAGATTAAAGTTTTGTATGTAAAGATACGATTTACTTGCAATTCAATTAACGAAAGCGAGAGAAAAAAATAATCGTGTAATAAGAAACATTGTTTCAACTGTATTTGATGTTGCATCTTTATGTGCCAACGGTAATGTGGCGGTATATAGCTCGTATTATACGCTTTTCGTCAGAACGTCTAACAGGCAAAACAACTTTACTCGCAAGTTCTCGGCTAAACTTTCGTTACAAGAAACGTAACCTGTAACCTAAACCCGGCTGTTTCTTGAGCCTAACAATAAGGTATGCACGCTTCGCGTTGCATATTCGACCGGATAATTAAGACACTTCAAGAGACCGGTGTAGTTTAACACCGCGAGAGAGAATCCTTTTGCGTATAATTATTAATTTTTATCTCAATTATTTTCGGTAATACTTTTTTCCTGCAAAAGTACCGCAGAAATATACTCTGCAGGATTGAAAAGGAGGGCAAACTCGTAAAGAATTGTTCTACGACTCATTGTCGGTGAAATGTTTGCCCTTAGAAATCTTACATGTGTTTATGCGTGTTGCTAAGATAAACTTCCATTATCAGGACATCGCGCAAAGTTTGGAGAAATAAGGAATGCTTTCTTCTAAGTAGTCTAGCGTGTGTTCAATGTGCTCTTGTTGAATAATGCAATGGCTTCTCTTCCGCACCGCGGAAGCCCATCCACTCATCCACCTATTCACCAGCTTCACTCTCGAATTCATTCTCTTTTTTCATTTTTTGCATACGATCGAAGCCCAGCCAGAACGTTAAAAGCCACTGCAAATCCCAGGAGGATCGTATAAAATTGATTTGTCGCGTAGATGTTTTTATTTGCAACTCGCTATACAGTGGGTATGTGTCTTAAAATTTCTAGAAACCGAGAAAATACGCAAGTAAATGTAAACTTAATTTTCTTTTAACCCTTTCAGCACGATAGACTCGTATATGCGTTCACAAAACACTGTAAACTCGTAATTTTAAGCAATAAAAATAGCTCGAGTGATCATGAACTCGTGTACGTATATTTGCCAAAAATGTAATTTTAATATAATTCAGTTAAAAAAGAAAATGAAGTAGTGACCTAATTATTTGTTATAGAAAATAATCAGTACTTCGACGCGGCATGTAGTCCTCCGTCCGCAAAGGGTTAAAAATTTTAGACAACAGGATAGTAGGTTAGATAAAATTATTAAGAAGACTATATGTACATAAATAGTTAGGAAATAGGTAACCGAAGAACGAGTGTGTAAGTGAGAAGACAAAATGGAGGGTGAATGGATAAGGAAATAATATATCGTAAACCAAGTCCTTTTCATAACCATGAGGCTGAAAGTAAATAAATAATAATAACTTAATTTTCTTTTATCGCTGCACTTACTCTGGCTTTAAACTCCTTCGTTCTCTATTTTTGGGGGCACTTGAAAAAACTAGATGCTCCACATTTAAATATGTATGTATATCTACGAAAGCGGAATTCTAAGGACAAATCAAATTCACGTGAAATACGTGTACTTGGTGGAAGAGGTATAGCGAGGTCGTAAATCACGACGTTACGCGAAAACATCGATTGATCTAGCTGCAAAGTAGGGCCGTTACGCGTCTTATAGAAGCTCCTCAAATCTCAAGTTGCAAGCGTTGAACGAAAGACGTGAATCCTTGGATAGCCGACGCTTCTAAATGACAAACAGTAGCTGCGATTGGATCAGTATAGAACCCGGTCTACCTCTTTCTCCACTTTTATTACTTTTTTAAATATACCGTAATAGAAGAGTCGGTGCCAAATTGACTTCGTACGGCTCTGAACGTGGCTCAAGCTCCTTATCTCACCCGACTGATGATTAGACGATCGGACTTCATGTTCTTTTACGCCTCTCGAATTTTACGACTTCGCTATTATACTCTTCTACCGAGTACTTACTATACCTGACATAAAAATGTACACTAGAACCACTCCATGGCGGATTTGTCGATCCTCGAACACCCCGAAACCGATTCTTTAAGTGTTTATATCTAGAAAGGGATGCCAAATTTGCGATTTTGTTATTCTTGATTTTTCTTTTATTTTGATATGAAAAATCAATCTTTCAAATTTTTGCCACTTATTGTAAAATAATTTGTAATAAGGAAGTGAATTGACGTGAACTTGATTTTTGATAAATAACTATAAGAAAGGAAGGTCCAAGCTTAATTTTTCGGTAATATTTTTATACAGAAATGTTGTTATACTGATATTTAAAGGTAGCCATGGGCAAACTGAGAACGAAGTTCAACGAGAAGCCGAAGATTATCTTGAAATATTGAACGTTCACTTATTACTTTTCTGTTTAACGAAATATCAACAAGTATCTGAATTATTGTACTACCTGTGCATTACACGAAACGTGTACGCAAGATACTAATTACATAAATAGTGTGTTTATGCCTATTGCAATACGTCAGATAAATTGTTACGCAAACGCAAATACGCATAATACATATTCATATGGTTCTACCTTAGCATTTTGGCCATTGTGCAAATAAACGTGGCAACGACAGTTGTGTACAAACATGTATGCAAAATAGTATATTCAAATTCTTGAACTAATTACATTATTTAGAAAACTAATGCATTTTATTAAAACCAGTATTAATCGTAATTGCCTCTTCTTTAATATTACATTTAGAATATTTTAAGTATAAAAAATCGTGAATACACATTAATACGCAGATTTTTATATTGGTCAATTGGTCACACGTTGATTTGCAAAAATTAGTGCAGGCAAAGCATGAATTATTATGAGGATGCTTAGCAAGGGAAACGCTAATCTATAATTAGTCAAAAAATGTACACATATTTACATACTTATAATACTGGTGCAAAAATTTCCATATTTAATATTAAAACTACCAATTTTAGGTGTAACATAATTGTCCGTTCAATTGGATTAGCTAAATACAGGGTGTATCCGAAATCGTGATGCACCTGAAAAAAAAGTTGATTCCTCGTATAAAAAGTAAGTCGCAAGTGTATTGTAGAATGAAATTTTTTAGATTCAATTCTTCTGAAAACGAAGCTTTACGTAAAAAACCTTCCATATTCAACTTTTCTTTGCACAAAGAATCACCTCCTTTTAGGGCTGCAGTTCCGATATTATTCAAATTTTGCAACAAATTAACGGACTAAATTACCTGCTCAATCTAATGGTGCTCTTCGTTTCACGGACCATTAGTGCTCGCTCCCAAAAGTGCACGGCTTCGGGTAAAATGGTATTCTGGAATAAATCAGAAGCAAAGTTTACTCCTAATGTATTTAAAAATGGCGGCGCCGAGTGTTTAATCTATCGCGCACCGTCTGGATAGCGAAAGGGTTAATGCACGAAACGAGTGCGTTTTATTCTCATGGAATCTAGCCTTCTCATCACCAAAAATTACAGATTTTCAGTGTATATATATAAGGAGCTGATTTTTCACGCTTCCAAGGCTTAATCCTTTGCGGTCCTATGTCGAGTCAGACTCGACACAAGAATTTTTGCCTTCAAATATCACATAATGATAAATTATAAATTATAAACGATAATATACCATTTTTTAATGCATTGATATTACACTGAAACTTAGTATTTTATAACTAATATTACGCCGAAATATTGAAATAAAGGGAAACTACATGGTGCTGCCCGAGAGTGACCAAATGAGAGCGGACTAACTGGACTATTTGGATCGCAAAGGGTTAAATCTAAATCGTAACAAAACCTCGTCCTGTGATGCCCGGTTTTGCCTCAATTTCTCGAAACTGAGGACAGGTATTGGGGTCACAGTTAAATCGGAGCAATTAAGGATCGACGTTGCGGAGAAAACGAAGTTTATTAAAACTGGCGAAACGTGACGTGCGGATGACAATACAGAGAGCGACTCGAGGATGAAAAAATGGGGCTATTTAAGGGTTTCAGGAAGATGAACTTTGGGTTACGATTGTGTAGGAAAGTTGGAAGGTGAAGAGTCCAGTGTGAGTAATGGTGAAAGCTGGTGACCAGTTGTGGATACAGATCGGACTAAGGCTAAGAAAGAAAGTATTTCAGGGTATAACAGTCCCACGAGTGCAACTTTTTCTCTTTCTACCGTTGCAATTACTCAATATTAATGTTTACTTGATATAGTTAATTACAGATAACACTTTATCGATAAGCTGGTTAATGCCAGCAGGCGCGACATTCCACTGAAGCTACAAAGAAGAAGAAGAAACGCTTTGGGACTTTATTGAGAACGTCACTCTGCCAGTCGGAATTTTAACGCGAAACGAAATAGGGTTGTAACTATATTCTACGTAATTGTGAACTGGACAATACTGCCCAAAATCGAGAAAGAATATTCTCTCCAAGTGGAAATTTGACCAATTCAATTATTTATAATCACTGTAACTTGTATAACTTTATTTATATTAGAATATAGCATTGTTAAGGTATATTCGCTGATTTCAAACCAATCCCGAGTAAATATTAGTAACAAACCAAAGCAGATTCACAACCGCCCGAGATATATCAACAATTACAACTCGCCAAGTTCGTCCGAACCATTCCCATCTACCATCCTGCTTTAACCACTAAGCCAGGCGATTTCAGGACCTCGCGTCGCGTAACAACTATACATTTATCACTAAATTTATGCATGCATGTTTGTTTATACAAAGTTTAATTACATACAAGATTTTATTCAAAATTATCTGCTGGAGGTCAGTGGCATTCCTCAAAGGAAAAGAAAAACTACCAGATATTTTTCCAAAAATCTTGTCCCAATTAAAATTTACTTTTTTTATTCATGTCGTGTCTTCTATTTCTATACTACTTCTGAATTAACAATCACGGAAGGAGGGAAAAATATTTTTATTCGTTCAAATCAGCTCTCCCGAAGATTAAATCCTGAGTGCGCCACTGCTATTAATTGTACAATTCTTAGATTTTATTTTTACAATAAAATACTGCAAACACTAAATGTACTGTTCGTTAGAAAGTGATAAATGTCAATCATCGACAGGCTAGCCTGTCCCTAACCCTTTAAACCGCGGAAGAATACGGCGAGAATCGGAGAAGAAGGAACGGTTTATATTACGTCTGGCTGTATTAAACAAACGATCGTTGGCTAGCCTCGGCGTTACGACTAGAATAGCGTTACGCTTGAACAAGCGTGCATCATTAATATTGGTCTAATGGCAAGCGCCTGATAATTAAAACGGAACCGAACAAGTGGGGCCTCGAACACCCGGCAATGCTTAATTTCATTGTCCTTCGTTATTTTTTTTTCCGACTATATTGTCGACGGCACTCCTCGTTAACAACTTTTCCGAACTATGCTACGCTTTTCTCACTTCCATTTAACGCTAAGGAAGAATTTACAGATGACATAACGAAGCGTGAAAATTTTGCGAATATTGTTTTTACAAGAAATTCAAAATATAAGAAATATTCGTTTCGCGAAACCAACTAATACAATAATTAAATTTTTGTATCATATTTTTGCTAAGTACGCTAATGAACGCGTTACTATGTAATAAATTATGAAATGAATTGTAAGCTTTCGTGAGTTTTCCTATTATATTATGCTGTATAAAATGTTCGGTAAAATATGGAAGAAATTTTAACAATAGAAATACCAAACCCGTCGAAATGACGGGTCTCAGATTTCTTACTTTAAATTACAGAAATTATTGAGCTGCTTTTGTTCAAGTATATAGTCACTTTTGTTGAAATAAAGAAATAATTACGTATGCCAACTTATTTTCCATTAATGATTCTAATTTCCAAGTTCTTTATAGTCTTTTCTGAATATACCAAAAGGGAAATAATTCACCACATTCAACTCCGGTTGTTCTAGCGATAAGAGGTGATTCTACAATCAAAAATAAGACGAAAATAAGGGAAGAAATGAAATTATGCTTGAGATTTCTTTTCTTAGTTACAAGCAGTTAAAGAATCAGGTAAAATATTCCTGATTCTTGACGATTTTCTATGCATGGTTCGGTAAATGAAAGGTCAGGAGGTGAAAATTAGTGGTGAAAAGCAACAATGCAATTTGTAATTATATTAATTATACAATTAATAACTATAATTCTTTTTTCTGTAGCTGCTTCGAAGTATGATGCTAACCGTGTCGTTGTTCCTCTTTTTTTTAACACCCTGTACGTTATCATAGTAGAAACACTATTGATAAAGGAGTTGCATTATAAGGTTAAAGAAATTAATTCCTTGACAATGGAAAAGCAGCGAGGTAAACTGAATTTCTCGCCGACCTTTTATTTTCATTAGTATTGTTTCGTTGCTCCCTTTTCCCTCTCTGTCTTCCTCCCTGTATCAAGGTGCAGCTTGCGTCTCATTGTCAGAGCACCTCGACAAACGACGCGTTCCTCCTCTCTGTCTATACCTATATACGAAAAAGGAGGTATTCTCCTTTATCACAATATTGCGTTACTTCTGCAGCCTTAAGAGCATCCTACAAGTATGCTTTCCTTGTTTTCCGCTGATATAAGAGATTTCTCCCTATGCTCTTCCTATATTCACTATTCTGAAAGGGATTTGTTCAATCCCTCTCTCACATCAGGCCATACGAGAAATGCCAAGATATTGAGTGGCAAACTGCTTTTATTTTATATTACAGGTTCGTTCGTTTTAAACTGATATTGGTAACAAATGAAATTATCTCGTTTCGACACGTTATCGCGTACGTATGTATGTGTGTGTGCTGTGGATGACGCTTATTGCATTTGTTTTAGACGAACCTCGACAAACATCGTATCTAAATTCTACTAAATAATTAGTAATTTTCGTGAAAAATTTTAATAAATCTAATTGGTAATTTTTCTTCGTTGTAAAATGATATACCAAAAATTGTTAATTGTGAGGTATCGCAGAAATATGGTAGATACAGCTTTTCTTCCTTTAGACTGGTGACATAATTGAACGATGAAGTGTACGTGATACAGTCTATGCTAGAATGCAGTATAAAGTTCGTCGACGAAGTTTCTTTTACCTAGTTAACAAATTTTCTTAACTTAGACATTAAAAATTGCATTTTCCACAAAAGTTTGTGACTTCTAGAACATATTCATCTATTACTGTACAAAAAACATTTTCCCTTTTTTCGCTAAGTTTCCATAAAACAGATAAGTAACCAATGAAGAAATTAAATTGAATGCATGAAATGAATTGTGACTAAATTTTCTGTACTCACTGTAATAGAATTTTCTTTATACAGAGTGTACCGTAACTGATTCTATACGAAGAAATAAATTGAAAATATAGAATAAAATCCTTTTCAGAAAAAGCTTACTATTTCAGAGCTATCTTTTTTTCTACGACTTGTACTAGGTAAGATGTTTGAGGATCACTGTACCCCCGTGTCATCACCTGACCTATATTCTTCAGTGTAAGGAGGTTTGCTCGGCTACGGGGATAATTTTAAACGTCAATAACTAAAAAACGAACCCTTAAATACAATTTTTGTACTCTTCATTTTTGTCTTGTATCAGCTTCCAGAATCACTCCTTAAGATTTCTACTAACACTTGTCGAACACCTTATATATTAAAATGTAACATTCATGCAATCGCATAAAATAAACACTTTGTAAATAAATTAATAGTGATTGTATTTGAATATTCTTTGATTAAAATTCACAATTTATCAATGTTACTAATAAATTACTTACATTAATCAGATCCAATTTTTCGTCATCCAACCTGTAACACGAAAAAGAAAATATACAGTAAAGTTAAATTTAAAAAGATTGTGGATGAAATGGCCAATAATAAACTAGACCTAAAGTCATTATTCTAAAGCAAATATAAAACCATTAAAACTAAAAGAGTACTTCTGATACAATGACTGGGCGGCAACAAAAAATTGCTATTTTCCTGATTCACAAGTACGTGTATCAGTTTAATACACTAATTAATTTTCGAAATAGGAATTCCAAATGGAAAGTCGAGTGACATGATAGATGTGTTTACGTTACGAATAAAACAGAAGTGGAGTTCGTAATGTCATGCAGGAAGAGTGTTCGGAAAGTATTTTGCATCCGTTACACGTCTGTACAGCAGTTCAAGTGAGATAAGAGCTCGAGCCTCGTTCGGTGATGTTCGATGCTTAACTTAAAAAAAAAAAAACTCTGAAAAAATGTTTATTCAAATATGAAGGATTCAACGATTGGTTGTTTTTCTTTTTGGAACGAATGGAAAATATACCGTACGCGTAGCATGAAATTCGTAATTATGTGCAAGATGATATACTCGTTGCATTTCACCCTGTATACGAATATTCAGTTTTCCTCCGCCCGGTGGCGTAGATTCAATTATAAACCAACGAGAATTCCGTGCTCGTAATGTTCGCATTAGCGCCGCTCACTGGGTAGCCTAATTCAATGATGCAGCTTCAAGGGTGGTTGCGAAACCAGCAACGATCGCGGCTATTCGAATATTTGGAGTGCTGATGACAATGTATATCGTAAACCCATGAACGACGTTTCAATAAATCGGATTCCCGACCTTGTTCATATTAAATCAAATTTCCGATAAAGCGTCGCACACCTGGCGGCATGAGAAATTCAAGGACGCAGGATATAAACGTATTATATCTCCTGATGGGGATTGACCATCAGAAAGCCTCGATTGTCACCCAGATTCGCCGTCTCAAAGGCCAAGGCTATCAATTTTTGGCACGCGCCTGGCTTAATATGCTCTACGGAGAAAAGTCTTGGCTTTGGTTATTTTCACGAGTGCACAATTTCGCCTGCAAAGATTATTTTTATCTGAAGAAAATTACTCGACTTTTGGAATAGATGATATGACAGAGGCATATTCGGAAAATATGTTAAATATTGCACAAACTAAATAATTCAACTAGAACTTCCACAGTTTTGAAGATTCTACCTCTTCAACGTAAGATCCTCGTGTTGCTGGATAAAGCTTTTTCAGTTAATCAGCATCAACCTCCTGATTTTTAATATAGCATTCAGACAGTTCAGACGACTCGAATGGAGGTTTCCTGTAACAACTTTATACGATGGAAGTAAGTGGGATGAATAATTTCCATCTTATTCCGTCACACGTATTTCGTAATATTATGCGGTTGCAATTTTTCTTTTTAGTAAGAACTAATTAGACTATTCCGCATTAAAATCCTCGTACGCAAAAATAGGTACACCTTACGGAATATATTTAGAATGCTGAATTTGTCTTATAATTCAATATGTGTCTCTTAATTTTCGTGAACAAGTAAATTTGATGAAAAATACTACTTCTCCAGGAATCGTTGATTTTTCAACAATAAATAATGTTTATTTGTTAACGTAAATAATTAATACAGTTAGCAATGACGAGAGATTATTTGGATTAACTTTGAAGTTAAGAAATGAAAACAAAGGGTCTTCGCCATATATAACTGAAATAAAATCAATATCAAACCGCAATGAAACATATTTGCCCTCAGTCAATAATTTTGTGACGTGACTTCACCGCGTGAATCCATCCGTTTTATTATTGTCGGGGTGCCGAGCTCAGCCAGGATTCGGTGGGTGGACGAGTGAAGAATGAAAAACCGAGGTTTATGCTGCTACGCTAATATTTCATTTATTTTAGCTACATTTACAGTCGATAAATCGTCGTATTTCTTACTATTTGCAAAAGTCTATATAAAGGATGTCTCAGCTAAGATCGAACACCTAAATATCTCCTGTATCTTTAACGCCTTAAATATCTCCTTTATTTTTAAATATTTCAGAGATAATTTAAACGGTGTCGAAAATGACGTTAGATTTGAGGATCACTGTGCCCCCGTGTCTTCACGTGACCTATATTCTTTGGTGTAAGAAGGTTTGCTCGGCTGCAGGGATATTTTTAAGTGTTAATAACTAATAAACGAAGCCTCAAACGTAATTTTTTTGTTCTTCATTTTCGTCTTATATCGGCTTCTAGAATCACCCCTTAAATTTTCTACCAACCGTTGCCGAAAATCCTTGGTAGGTGTCCACTTGAACTGTAAGCGACGGCTCAGCCGCGTGCTTCTATAATAGAATTCGCACTCGCTTGTCAATCGACCGTTACTGTGTTTCAGAACGATCATGTGGTTGGTTCGTAACAGATCGTGGTTATATTGTTGAACGTAAAAAAAGAAAAACAGTAGATTTTTTGGAGCAAACGTTAAATTTGTAGCTTGCCAATTTTCTAGTGGTAAACTAATAGCCTTCAAAGTTACTCCCCTCACGTTGTAATTGAATTCTAGAAGCAGCAGCAGTAGTCCGATGTGCTTCAATAAATCCAGAAATCCACGTCGATGCTCCTGGAAGTCCGCCAATTATTAGACAGGATGACGAGGATCAGCGGTGGCGAAGCGTGCTAGCTCTTATGCTAAATCTAATTATAGGCGACCCCCATGTAACATGGCATTCTAACAACACGGTTTGAGAATTGGGGAAATTCTTGTACAACACGAAACGTGATAGGAATTTTTAAACGCAAGCGCAATCACTGGATACATCGATACAGCACACTTTCCAAAACCTTTTCGTGTTCTTTCTCATAAACTTTCTCTTTCCCGACTTCCGTAGATTTTCAGTTTCCATTCTTTTGCCTTTTCACTTTTACGGATTTTGTTTCTGGTCTCGAGTAGCTTGGAAAGGTATAGTCGATGGAGGAAATATAGCGAAATTGTAAAATCGGTCAAGCGTCGAAGTTTGCATGTTCTAGTATATAGAGAAGCGAATCAACAAAAACCTGAGAAGATAAAAGCCCGAAATCTCATTTAGGATCATATAAAATATGCTTTAGCTTTGATTCTTGCTACATTTCTTCCACCGACTATACACATGTGGTGTCCAGCCTTACGCGAGTGCGAACGACACTGTTTTCTACCAATTTTCTTTTGCCAATGTTCTCGGATAAGTATCAGAAAATAAGGTATCGTAAACCAAAACTTAGAGCAAAAGTAGAATATTCTTTAATGTATCTTTAATCATTTCTTAAGTTCTCATTAGTCCAAAAAATGCAGGAAAATTCTAATTTTTCGAAAAGTGTCAAATTGTAATCAAGAACGCAACGTAAGAAGCTTATTTCACGCTTTTTTGAAATACTCGAACGAAATAAACATTTCTCGTTTTAAACGCATCGCATACTAACTTGTTTGATTAGAACGAACTTCGTCGGCTTCTAAGCATAAAACGAGATTTACAGTTTTGTTACACAATTTACACAGATCCGATGTATTTTTCATTCGCATCGAAAAAATATCGGGGAGAGAAGAAATTCGGATAAAAGGAACGTTTTTCGCGCGATAGGATATTCACAATGAGACGGTAGAACAAGATTACTTTAACATTTCAAGATTTCACTTGGCAAGTCAGAAGTTGAGAAGATACCAAGACGGAAAAAAGAAAAACACTCGGATATCTCATAAAAATATCAATGCCGTTTTACCTTCTTTCTCGCGAGGTTTCCCTTTTCAGCGTACGAACGTGGCAGCTGAATCGTGCATCAAAGCGGTAGGATTCATGGAGAGCAATGCAATTTGAGACCTGTGAACGTACCTGCACGGAAGGACGAAAACGCGATATTTCACGGGAGATTTTAGAAGCATTCCATTTCACTGACGTTACACTGACAACACTTCGGATACAAGTCAAAGTTGGAAATCCAATAACTGGTAAAAGTCAGAGCAGCGAGAATTCACATATCTCCTTCAACAATTGAGATTTATAAAGCACCAGTATTTATTACTTTTTCTTTCCGTTATCCTCGTTCATTTACTGTCTGTTACCAAAATTAACAATAGACGAATGATTTAACTGCAATAACATTAACGCAGCGAATTACAGATATTTCGCCTATTGGCTCCTATCTTCTTTACTTAACGTACAAATGCCACAAAGGGCGTTAAAATCCTTTTCTATTGTTTGAGAGTTTTAAGCGTTTTAGCCTACGTACATCTCGAGATTCTTCGAGTAATCGTTTAGCTAACAAGGGAAGTTCGGCAACCGGAAAATTACAAAACATTTGAAACTTTGCAGAAATGTAGCCTCAAGTGACGCTAATAACGATTCATTTTTTGTTTCGGTAATAAAGCGGTCCTCGAGTTAAAGACAAGAAATTAAAAAGAAAGTGAAAACTTAACCGTTGCGTTCCTATAAGCGTTTTGAAAATTTGTTTGCGCTATATGCTGCAACCTTGTGGTACGCTTCGATCCTTTACACACGTTCATCTTAATTTAATAAATCGAATTTTAAAATGATACAGCCAACGCAACAAATTTTATACCCGTGATGAAAAATTGACAGTCCGTCATACACGTTACGTGTTAAAATTCGTCGCAGTGAAAGGGTTGAAACAGATGGTGAGTTTTCGTGTTATCGTGAATATTTACGAAACCGTGCAAAATATGGGGAAAAAGTTCAATTCAAAGTTGTACGGTTTTTGGTGTCTTACATTATAGTGATAAAGAATCTTTGAAAGAAGAGAGGTGGGGGTAAATTTTGAAAGAAAAAGAAATGTTTTTTGAAAATTCTCGAACAGCATAATACAGGACATCAAAAACGACACAACATCGAATTTAACATGAGTTTCGTTAGAATTTCTTTAAGTGGATGTTTTCACCCCGACGACCGTTTCATAGCTGAAACAAAAAGTGGTTTCGTTATTAGCGTCACTTGAACTACATTTCTGCAAAGTTTCAAATTTTTTTTGTAATTTTC